TCAAATCATTTTCCTTATTTCAGCCTGCTTGCACTGATGATTCTTTTGATTTACCTATCCTTCTATTTTCTAATAGAGACTTGAGAGAAGTTATATATATATGACAAGTAGAACTATCACAGACCCCGAGCTGCTTTTTTTTTTTTTTTTTTTTTCATGTAGAACTATTTACTATAAAAAAAACTTTCAATTGGGATCTCCCAGGGTAGAGTTAGTCGTTAAAAATAAATGGGTCATTCCATTCAACTATAATTTGGATAGGAAGTTGTTTGTAGCAAGTTCTATCCAGGGAGCAGTGGTTTGCAGCCAGTTCTCATATGTACTGGAAGGATTCCTCCATCTTGCAGCTTCTGCTCAGTCAGGGAACAGTCCTTCCTTGTAGTGATGATATATGTTAATCTAATCTATTATCAACCAAAAATTTCTTCTCTTGATATCCGTTGACATAAATAATAGCTAAAGCAAAAACTCGAATATCCTTCATTTATTCTGACTTGCTTTTTCCCCTTTTTGGCTGAAGTTCTACAGTAGCAAATAAATTCATGACATGTCAGCCCTGAGCCAACAATAGCTTGTTGCTTCCTTGACTTAACTTTTATCAGGGATACCGTTTGTTTAGAATAGTGTCCATCTCCAAAAGATTTTATGTGTGCATTGGAGTGAGTGTCAGAGACGTGGAAGAGCTCAATCTTCATTCATACTTGTCTTCTACGAGAAAAATGTTTACCCTGTGTCTCAAGTGCTACCAGCTCATACTGTGTAGGAGAGGATTGGGTGTATGCCATACAGCCATATGCAGCTTCCTCTTGTATTTCTCCAATGAATCGAACCCATGACCTTTAGTTTACCAAAGGAGCAACTCTATCCTTAAGTGAAGCCCTCCTGACTTGTCTCTCACCTGAAAGGGAAAGACTTCTCAAAGAGTATAATTTTCAAGGGAAAAACTTCCCAAAAGTATAATTTCTTCTAAATAAAGAAAATTCCCTTCAAAAGATATAATGACATTCTCGTTTCAGCAAGATTTGCAGAATCAGGAAATGTACTTATAGTCTATTTTAGAGTTGGTAACTAGAGTTTTCCCCCTTGGTGGGAAGTTTCATGAGTTCCAGTCTTTCTTTTTCTTTCATTGCAGTATGACTAATGATCATCAGAATGAACTTGATATACATCTGGTTTGTGTACAATGCTTAGAGAATGAGGCAACTAGAATAACATGGTGAGGTTCTTGAGAGAGTTGCAGGAATAAAGTGTAATGACCTTCCTGGTCATTTCTATGTTTTGCCTTCTTTGCATCATTTAGAGCATTCCTGTAGAGACCCCAAGCCATTTATGACTTGCTGGGACTGAAAGTTCGGTCACCTAACAGTTCGTTTGGTAGTGATGTGATTTTTTAGCGTTTGGAGCTTATGAACCTTGAACGATCATTTTCGATCCAAAGTTCAAGAAGATGACATCTGGACTTTAGTCAGCATTCTGAGTAAATGCGCTCGGATGTGAATTCCGTCAGCGTGGTTAGCTCAGAAATATCAAGTTTGGTCTAGATTGACCCTTTGTTCGTGTCTCGAGGCTTTTAAGCTAATTGTGAGCCCCTTTTGGATTTCGACTTAAAATGCAGTTGGGTGTGGGACCCACTTTTTGTCAAGATCACCTCGTATGGAAATTTAAACTGCGACATCGAGTCCGATATATAGAATTTGGTATGGTTGCATATCTTGTTTGAGTGCACGGGGCTCCAAAAGAGTTCTTAAGTTTTTGATAAAAATGCTAAAATCTAGTGCATATATAGCAAAATTATCTCATTATGGAAATTTAAAACAACATATCTCATTTTGGAAATGAGCTGATAATTCTGCTAATACATGCACCAAGCTTTCAGCGTTTTTTCAGAAACTTAAAAATTCCGACGGGGTGTTCCGAACTCGTTCAGAGCCCCGTGCGCGCAAACGAAATATGCATCCATACCAAATATGATATACTAGACTCCATGACGCAATCTAAATTTCCATTCAAGGTTGACAAAAAGTGGGTTCCACACCCAACCGCCATTTAAGTCAAAATCCACTAGAGACTCGGAATTAGCTCTGGACGCGAACAAAGGGTCAAACTCGACATTTTGGAGCTAATCGCGTTGATGGAATTCACATTCGATCACGGTTACTCAGAATGTTGACTAAAGTCAAACTTAGGCTTAAACTTTTAAGTTAAAACGCCTAATCGTATCGACTCACACTGAAAACCTTGGGAGTCATGCCGACCATGCTTCTAGCCTTAATGACCCTTCCGAAGCTGATGGAATAGTTAGAATTGGATTTAGATGTCCTCTTTTGATTGAAAATGATCGTTTAAGATATATAAGCTCCAAAAACTAGAAAATCGCATAACTATCAAACGAACTGTCAGTCCCAGCTTGAGGTAGCTACAGGAACACACAGAAGGCAAAACACAGAAATGACATAGATAATCTTTTGTAGAAATTTGGCACTTGCACCAAGAAAGAGAGCTAGGTAATTACCTTTTAGTTCCCTGTGATTTCATAGCATTGCAGCTTCTGCTAAACTAAGCTCCTTTTTTTTTGTTTTCTGCTACAAATCTTGAATACATATTCTGCATTTGAGAGGTATACCGTATACCGAACAAGTAACCTTTTTTCTTCTTACGTCCACTCCTTCCAATCAAAAGAAAGAAAAAAAAGCAAAGAGTACCTGCTCTGTAGATACACATTCGTTATTTCTTTCATTGTTTTTTTCTTGGGAATTGATTTCTTTCTGTATAGCATCTCTCCAGCAAGAATGATTGGAGACTTCAACAAATGATTCAGGTTCATGTGAAGATTGAGCTGAGATGAGGTAAGCTCAAACTTTTGCAAACCAGACCCGGTCTTTCTTGGAATCCAGAATTTGCCAATAACTAACTGAACTAATCCATATGTGTCTCTCTCCTATCGCTCGCTACTAGACTAATAGTTGAAGTAATGAATGGAAAACTATAGTTGCTAGGAATGCTTCGGAGATATTATGGGAAATCGAAAATGTTGAAGTGTTGACTTATAAATAGGAAGATGAGGAGATACAGGGTGAATGATATTCAGCAAGATTTGTATTCATTCACAGAGGAATTCAACTTTGAAAAGGAGAAGGACTGTTCCAAACAAAAGAACCCGTATCAAGTCCCAAGTCCTTGTGTCTGCTGAATGCTTACTTTTTTCTTGAGTCTGTTGGCAGAAGGGCTACTAGCGTGGAAGACTCCTTTGGCAGAGACAATGGCACCATCTGAGGAAGAATAGGATTTTATTCCCTGGCAAAGGGAAGAAGTTTCATTTCCAGCCATAGACACCTATACAATCATTGACTTCACAATTTGACTGCCCTATCTTTGATGAGATCCCAAATATCAGTAGTCTATGGTTGTCTGTTAGTAGATGCCACCAAATCTACCAATACTTATATAGCTTGTATTGCCAAACTTCCAAAAATCTGCTCATTTTGAGAAGTGTTTTTTGTTAGAATTGCTTTTACAAACAGTATGTTTGGATAGCAGTAGTTTGCATTTGGCTTATCATTTAAAAGCACTTTTGCCAATATTAGATAAGTAATTAGTGCTTGGTTAAGGTTCCAAAGGTGCTTCGGGAGAAAAAAACTACTTTTTAGCTTCTTAAAAACAACTTTTGCTACTACTCAGAAACACTTATTTTGTTCTTAAAAGTTTGGCCAAACTCCTCGATTCTCTATAATATGCATATTTAAAATAACACTTGACTTTCCAAAAGCTTGGACAAACATGCTATTAGTTTGATTCTGCTTCGGGCGTTCTCCTCTCCCCAACAGGACCACAGAGCATCACTAAAATATTGATGCTAAGTACAGTGGAGCACATGTGTTGGTCAAACAAAATAACCTAGCTCTTTACCCGGTACTTGTGCTGGCGGGAGGTAGCAGGAACTGGTGGAAGCCGAGTTCGTACACCACTGTTATTAAAAAAGAAATGGTGTTGTTGAAGCAACTTACATATTTCAAATTGTAGGATGTTTGGGGTATTGCTATTTCTTTCTTTGATAGAAAATCAGTATAAACCAACATATCTTAACGTCTCTTGGACAGTTCACACCATAAATGACAATTTATGGAACCGTAAATTGCTTGTAAAATCAGCTATAGCTCCATCGATGGCCCCCCTTGTTAACAAGATATGCAGTAACTATGTTAGTTTATTTCCTACTCGCAAATATCATTGCCTTTTAAGGTAAGATTGTACTGTCATAAAGTAGATAGATCTGAAACCTGTAGTGCCAGTGTGCATCCATTTTAGTATTACGTTGGGCTACATACATATATGTTTTACAATAATTTTGGCCGTGTATATTTGTATTGGTGATAATCATTAGACATAAAACTGAGTTTCATTTGTTAGTTGGTGCCTGAATTATTTTTTCCCTGCTGCAGTTCTAGTGGCAGTCCGGACAATCTGAGAGATGAACCTTTATTCTTGTAATTGATGAACTTGCAATGTCGAGACGGTCAGAGGAAAAAGGGCCTCAGTTTTGGTATTACCTTATAGAGGAAAGATGTAAATTACATGTAATTTTGTTCAGGTGATGCAAAGCTGGTGCTATTATCTCAACATACTTTGTAGTAATACCTTATCACCATTAGTGGAGACCAAATTATGTTGTATTATGATATTCCGTCCATCAGAAACAACTTCTCTACCTCTAAGGTAAAGGTAAGGTGTGCGTCTCCTCCAAACCCCATTCTGTAGGATTACACTGGCTATGTTGTTGTATACAGAAATGAAAGAGATGATTAGGTCTATTTGACTTGCTAAATCATGTATATTATTGTATTACTGTAATTCACTTCTGGGTTTAAAGTTCTCTTAGTATTCTTTTTTCGGCTTCGTAAGTAGCTATAAATGTATATGCATTGTATCGTATTGGTATTGTATACACCATGTCAAACTACATCATATAAATTCCAACAGAGAGATTAATATTGAAGCGTTCATTTTCCAATTCTTAAGAACAGAATCAATGTATGGGGTTTCCCCCTTTTTGAAGGTTGAAAAAGAACACTTAATATCAATGAAAATCATATGATAATCCCTTTGTTGTGGGTGTTCAAAGCTGGAGTGCTCCATTGAGATATCGATAATACAGAAAGAATGCTGCAGCCAAGAAAGGCACAAAATACTCAAAAAAAAACAAATGCTTGGGCTTGAAGTTTTGTTTGATCACAAAAGCTTCAATTTCTTTTGCCTTTATTGGTTCTTTGTTGGAATGAGTAAACAAATTATCATCATCATCATCATCTTGAATTTTATAGCCTTGAAGATTTCCAATCTGGTATTTCAAGATATAGTTCTTGGCAGCTTTACTATGCCCAATATCTTCAAATTCTTTAGTTGCATCCTTTCCAGCTGATTCAATCAACACTTCTTCTCCTCCAGGATGTTCTTCAAGAAACTTCGTAACGTCTATTATCTGAAAAAAAACACAACATAAGATGATTAAGGCGTCCAAGAAAACAGTGAGTTAAGTCAAACATGCTAGTAACGTTCCCGGGGAAGGGTGGAGATAGTACTCTGCCATGGATGATAATCCAGCAATCTTGCTTTGACTTGTGTTGTGCAACTTGAGAAAGGGTGAATATTTTTTCTGTGTCCATGTTTTTGGGGGTATGGAATAAGAGTTTTAGTATTTATAATGGCAATGGGGATTTATTGGTCAGCAAGAAAAAGAGAGTGAGGAAAGGTAGGTAGGTTGAAGTCCATGTGATTATCATCTACCATTTTTGTTTTCATATATGTATGTATCTACCTGATCTTCAACAGTCAAAAACAGATTTTTCTCCTCCACAATATGAGATGAATTGGTGAGGTGTTAATATAATTCCTTATATTGATTTTCATAAAAAAAGAAAAAGAAAATAGCAGTAGAAAATGATATAATTGATTAAATGATCCATGTTCATGCATTGATAGTGAAAAAGAACTTATAAAAAGATAGCACAGTGCACAAAACATCCTGCATTCACATTAAGATTCAGGAAATAGCCGCACTCCAAGGATGTAATGTAGGTACTGACTATCATAATGCAAAGCATTAATTACTGCTTCCACGGCTTAAACTCATATTTCCAATTTAAGCTAAAGCTTCAGCTACCGAGTTTTCCCAAGCATCATAAGTAAACAAATTTTAGACATCAAAGAAGAGAGTACTGTCAAGTGTCAAATGATACTACATATGTTTCCAAGTGATAGCTGAAATGGAACTGGTTGTACAACTTTAACAAATTTTGGAAAGTGAGAATATGAGTGCATCAACAGAAGATGTGTATATTTACTGAGAAGAAAGAGCTTTTCCAGTGCCTTTGGCTGGATCTTTTAAATCTCTTTCTTCACTACGCTCCTTATTGATAAAATCTGTGCCGTCAAATGTAACTCTAGAGTTCCTGTACTGGCTACCAAAGGCAGAGCCAAATCCCCATCCGAGGCCTACTCCGATCCCACAGCCACCACCTATAAATAGCAATTGTGAAACATTACATCAAAAAATTGGACCACAGATACAATTTCAAGAAACATGGCTTATATTCAGATTTTACCTACACCAAGACCCAAGAAATTCAAAGGCATGCCTGGAAAAAACAAGATTACACATTAGGTTAGATGATACAACTAGAGAAGAGTATTTTGCAAAAAAAGGACTTGTATCAAATGTGAAGAAACAAACATTTTTCTCTTGAGGAATAGAATTGTGATTCGGGTGTGTGTGTGCTTGGATCTTTGGACAGAGATACGTCCCAACCCTTAGATAAACACTACGACATTCCTAACCTACACAAAACATAAGATAATCTCCTTCGTTTCTTTAGAAGCATGACGATAATCAATTTAATAAAATATAGTAGTATATGATACTTTTAACATTGTCCATGTCAACAATCAGACAAAGGGAACAAGGAAATAAACTCAGAAATGTGAATATAGAGATGTTAAAGGAGGATTTTCATCAGACAAAGAATCCAGTGAAGAACTAACATGCATAGCAGTGTTTTGGGGCTAACAACTCACAAGGTTTATAGGGCTTGAAGGATAAAGAGAAGTAAAGCAAACATTTTATGGAAAACTAGAAAAAGGACCAAAAGTACCTGAATTTAAAAGTACTATAATAATCAAATTGCAACTGATAACTAATTTCAGAATCCAAGATACAGTAGTGGCAACATTTCCAACTCCTAAAGTTGAGCTTCAAAGAACATCCCCTTTCTTTTGGATCATTTTACGTGTCATTGTTTGAAGCACGCTTCTATGAAGCGCATGGTTTCACCCATGAAGCGGTTACCCCTTACTTCAGTTCGTTTTATCCATCTAAGAAATGAAGCGATGACTTTTAGTAACACTGATGAGTGATACCTAGAGACGTATAGAACATTCAGAGATTTCCCCCATTTATAGGAAGTCATCAACAAGTAGGAATACTTCATCAAAAATCAACCAAGCTAGGTTTTAATCCAGAACGCAGCCAACGTGGCAAAACTAAGGTCGCCCCTACAAACTGATTCAGATCATGGCGACCACTAGCCTTCCACGTTCTAGACCGGGACCAACAGCGACACTTTGGTATCTCTGGAAAGGATTCCCTCCCAAATCTACACTTTGCAGGGAGCTAATTAATAGATAAGGAACATCTTGGCCGACAAATTGATACACACTCCATATAATTTTGATGCTACATCTGTCCATGCACTTAAGTTCCATAGAAAGCAAGGGAGGGTGGGGATCATCTACTGCAAGGGACACTTGAGATCACATGTCTTGGAGGCTTAGTGCAGAGGCTTGTCTAGATGCCTTTTTCCTTGCTTTAATATCAGTTTAACTGAAAGAGTAGCAGTTTCTAAGTTGGCATAGTTTACCAAAAACATGCTTCAAAAGTCTTCTCAGGTCCACTTATTCCTTAAGCTATCACTGCCTTCAATAGGCAAATTTATAAATTTTCTAAGTTCCTCTATGCACATTTAAATAGCTTTTATTATAAAACAATCCTCTCCATGAGGATGGATGCTTTAACATGTCACTTTCCAATCAAATGTCAAAAAGTACTGATCTTTCCTTTTAGTTTACTCCTCTTAAAAGAGGTTAAAGACAGCAGCCACCTCTTTTTGCGCTGTTCTGTCGCTGAAAAACTTTGGTATAAAATGGAGATGCCAGCAACAATGACCACATTCTAAAAGAATCTTTGTTCTACATTATGAAACAGTGTTCAATAGATTTTCTTGAATATATTTTCAAGGTCTTCTGACATCTGGACTCTACATGTGTGAAATTCTACCAAATGCTTCAAAACTGTAAACTCTAGAGCAATTGTGCACTCGGATACATGACAAACTAATCATATCTTTTCATGTATAGTTCGTTTCAATCTAGTTCATAATCAACCAAGCTGGTGCAAAAGAATACGTATTAAAGTACTACGCTTTCTGCAATACCATATTTCATGGCTGACGAATCTAGCAAATTATGTCACCCCAATTCATAAGCATGTAATCGAAGACTCAATAAAGATGAAAACTTTTCTCCTGAACTAATACTGAAAAGATACTAGGACAAGCAAATTAGCAGTGTCTCACTAATAATTATAAATAGTTACTAAACCAAATTCAGAACAAGAATTCCCAAAGAACAACAGTAATATCACTAATCACTCTGCTCAACCCCACTAAACTCCTAATATACAATTCACATCTTCCTGTTCCAAGCTAGACCTTTTGGTTAGTTATAAGTGAAAAAATATTAAAACAGACCTAAAAAGATATTTTAGAACCCAAAAAAGCTTGAAAATGAAAGAATCAAACCTCCGAAACCCCATCCTACACCGAATCCGCAACCAATGCCAGCACCTAAACACAATTTCAAATTCTTTTACATCAGTACATGAAAGCAAGTAAAAAAAAATAAGTTCTTGTTCTTATTGAAAGAGAAGAAGTAAAGTACTGAACATTTATGCATACCAACACCGATACCAGTTCCAGTGAAGTTTGTCATCACCATTGCTTCCGGCGAACAAATTACCAATCAATTGAAGAAAGATTTACAAATTGGGAGTAAAGTGCCCTTATAAAAACCCCATTTTTTTTTAATTTAAGGGACTACATTGAACTTACTACAAACATAAGTGACCAAAACTGCACAGTGTGTATATTTAAGGGACTATACTGAACTTACAATAAACATAAAGTTACCATTTTTGCCATTTTCTCTTTGAAATTAGTGCAGCAGCAGTCAAGAAGATCAGCAGGCAACGATCGAGCCATGGCTTTCCTCTTCCACAAATTTCAAGAGGTTCTCTATTTCACCTTGCACCCTTTTAACTGTTAATTTTATGATAACTTGTTCATCAATCAAACTGTACATTTTGTTCTGTTTTTTTTTCTTCATTAAGTATCTTGAAGATATTTGTAATGTGGGTTTTGCATTTGTTTGTTGAATTGACACTGTTAATTATCTAAAGTTGATTTTTTGAATTGACATACGATTTTCAGGGAGTGAAAATTCTTGCTAAAAGCCCCACTTTTGCTAGAGAATCGAGGCTTCTTCAGTTCGAAGCTGACATAAATCTACTATTCCTTTACACCAGGTAAGAGGTGATGTACAAATTGAAATTACTTTTATTGGTTGCTGTTTTATATTGTCATTGTAATTATATTGTTTTATTCAACATTTTCAAAGTATAATGTTGTGTGAGATTCGGGTTTCTTCAGCGCTGATATAGATCTAGGAAGAACTTGTTGTGCTTTTATCAAAGGGGGAATGAAGAACTTGTTTGATATTTGTGAATTTCTGTTTGCTTTTTAAGTTGAATCAATGACAAATCTAGTGTAATCCCACATGTGGGGTCTGGGGAGGGTAGAGTGTTCGCAAAACCTTATCCCTATTTTTGAGAAGATAGAGAGGTTTCAAAATGAGCATCAGCTGAACAGATAGTGAAAAAGAGGCAATAGCAGTAAACAGAAAGAACAATAAGGTAATCACATATCGAGGCAAAATAACACTTAATGATAGAAATCTAAAAATAAGGGAAAGAATTGAACAATACTAACCTTCTACCTTAATCCCCGATCTCCACACCCTCCTATCAAGCTTCATGTACTCAGTGAGCTGAAGTTGCGGCATATCCTTCTGATCGCGTGAAGTTATTTTTCATGATTGAGGATTTGCTTGGGGACTGGGGTAACAGTCCTTATTCCACATTTTTCTTTTAGTTTCTTCTTTAGAGGCCTACAGCTTCAGTGGGAACTGTGCAGTATTGAGAGAGAGAGAGTTTCTTTATTTTCTTGCCCTCGTTGATAAATAGTAGAACAACAACAAGAATACACCATAGGTGGGGTCTGGGGTGGGTGGTGTGTGTGCAGCCTTACCCTTATACCTTGTGAAGGTGAAGGGAATGTTCCCGATAGACCCTCTGTCAAGTAAAACATATCAAAATAGTATGAAAAGAAAGCATAGAAATATGCTTTAGTGAGGAATTGAACCTACAGAGGGACTCGATTTGAAATTCCTTTACCACTGAACCGAGGTGCTCCGTTTGATAAATAGTAAAGTAACTAACATTTTTATGCCTTTAAAATTGCGGCTTCGTTGGTGAAATTACATATATCTTTGCATAGATGCACCACTGTACTTTCATGTTGCCCTGATAAACCTTATTCTCAGTTACAACCGTTTAGGAAGGAATGCCGAAGAAGCTGATGCAGAGGAGATTATTGATATGGCTAACAAAGCCTCATTAGACGATCAACAGAAGCAAGTTCATGAGAATGTGCATTCTCAGGTTACAAACTTTTGCAGCTATATGGATGACATATTACTCCTGGATCAAAAGGTCAAAGACAATCAGGCCACATCACCAGCAACACTACATTTTTCTCCTCGTAGTAGTGGCCTTGGTCTTGCTGTTGATGGGAATTCTCTAGCACAAGACCGCATTGGTAAGAATCTGCTACATCTTAAGCTAAATTTTCCATGTACTTCTTAGTTGTTCCTTTTTTTATTTTTTTGAGGACTTCTTAGTTGTTATATTGTGAAAACTTGTTTTGGATTTTGACTTGCACCCTACTTCAGTGTTGGCAACCATTTGATTTCCTGCTTCTTCTCTGTTGTGACATTGCTTTACCTTGTGTTATGCTGTCCTTGGAATTAATTGGCTGTACCTCTCCAGTATATATCTAGTATTACCGTTAAAGCCACTACTTCATTTTTTATATTAAACACAGTTAGCCTTCAACCAGTGTTGAAAATGTTTTCATTATAAAGTTGGACAATAGAAGTAGTTATATCTACCTCTTGTAGCCGGTAAATACTGTGTCATTTGAAATTTCTGAAGTAGAATATTACTGAATTTATGTAGAAATTGATGAAGTTCCTAGAATCGTTTGATTGGTAAGATGGATTTGCTTTTCTTTACACGAATACAAGGTGGGGATGGGGGGGCCTCATTGCACATCTGCTCATGGATTAAGTAGATCAAATTCAACTCTCAGCTTAAGACACTTTAAAACGATTACTGAGCTCTGGATGTAAACTGCTAAAGGAACGGAGTATAGATATTCCAATTAGAATGTTGCTTCAACTTCTTCATTGGGAGGGGTGAATTGTCACTATTATATTTCCTTCAGTTCATTCAGTATAAACATGATATCTATAATGAAGTTGATGGACAGTTCTAGTTGAGTAAATATTGAATTTGTTGCTGCATACAGAATAACATAACATCACGGATCATGAGGCTCCTTGGTGGTTGGTTTTGTATATATTGTATTTTATTTGTTCTTTGCAGTGGCTTCATAGCTGCATCACCCTGGTTTTTAATTATTGATAAAAAATTTCAGCACAGCCGTACCTGAAACCAAGACACTGCACCGCACAGAAGTTTCACAGAGGTTAAAAGATCTTATGGGCTACACTCTCGAGGTCAAACCATCTCAAATTCCTCATGAGGATGCTGGAAAGGGTTTATTCTTACAAGGTGAAGCCAATATTGGTTCTGTCATAGCATTCTATCCTGGAGTAGTCTACCCTCCAGCATATTACCGCTATATTCCTGGGTACCCTAGAGTTGATGCCCAAAATCCACATCTGATCACACGGTATGATGGGACTATGATCAATGCTCAGCCCTGGGGTGCTGGTGGTGAATGTCGTGAATTATGGGATTGGACCAGTTCTCCTGAACCTAAGTGCACTATGCAAGCTGGTGAAAAAGGTTCTGACCTAGATGGAACAGACGTTGGAGGCAACCTTGAAGTGTTTGAGAGGAGAAACCCTCTAGCCTTTGCTCATTTCGCCAACCACCCAGCCAAAGGCATGGTCCCCAATGTAATGGTATACCCTTATGATTTCCCCCTGCTTGAGGAGGACATGAGACCCTATATACCTAATGTTTCATTTGGAAACGATGAAGAAACAGAGACTAGTAAATTTGGCAGCTTTAGGTTCATCAAAATGTGGAAGTCCAACAACAATGAATCAAAAGTCCCCGTTCTGAAGACACTTCTTCTTGTGGCTACTAGGGCAATTTGTGATGAAGAGGTTATGTTGAACTACAGACTGAGCAATTCAGAGCACATACCGTCATGGTATACTCCAGTAGATGAAGAGGACTAAGGGCATTGGAGCTAAGATCATTATGATGATGGATGCATATACAAGGTGTTGAACAACCATATAAGCAAACACATTTACACGATCATCAGTCATTGCTCAAGGCCAGCGAAGAATGCCACATTAATCTTGGTGATGATATCTGGTTCCCTTTCAGTTCTCAACAGTTAGGAATTATGTAACTAGAAAACGTTGTGATGAGCTCTAGAAATGTTTGAAGTTTGCTCAGACCTTGAGTAACTGAATAAGGCAGGAAAGGAATACATCTATAATTGAAAGGACGAACTCAAGACTCTGTTTAAATCAAAATCCTGTTTTTTTTGTGCTTTGTTATTCAGTTATTACTGCTCATTTTTGTGATTCATTAATTGACTAAGACTCAGAAATTCTATTGCACTTGCTTAAGAGTTGAATGCATGATGTATGGGATAGTCACAATCTAGAGTTTTGAACTTCGTTACAAATAAAATTCCGATATTTAAGTAGAGAAGAATAAGCAAGGAGTTATTTTTAACTGTGCCGTATTGACCCTCGAGAATTCTAGACTAGTTAGTCATGTTAAGATAAATTGTCTATATTATATCTCTCGAGATTAAGTATTTCTTACGATTATACTGACATGAGATAATTTATGTATCAAACTGTCTTTTATAAGTTATATAATCTTATAGATGGATAAACTTCCAAAAAGTCGTTGAGTATCAGTGGAAGTTCAAGAAATTAAGTATTAAAACAAGTTAGGTTTAAAGTTGACAGTGGAATTATTTAATAAGTCTTTTATGTGTTTTCACCCGGAAAAAATGGAAAAAAGAAAAAAGAGAGAATAGTGAGTTTGACAAATAAAACCTTGTAATTAATTCTTTATAGGAATCTGCATGTAACAGTTTTATCCACTAACATGCCTAACATTAATGGTCCAACTTTAAGAGAATTTTTACACTAATTTACATGTAAACATTCATATTCAATAATACTAAGTACTAACTAATAAATGGGATTGGGAACCTGAAAAATAAAACATGTGTAATCCTAATCTTATATATAACTACACATTCAGTGTAATTAATCTCACAAGTGATGTTTAAAAAAAATAAGACATGCGTAGACATTACCCTTACTGCTCTATCTTTATTGGATAGGAAGATTGTTTTTTATAAACTTCGATGGCTAGCTTTACTTATTTGATTTCTGATATGCTTACTTGAATCAATGATCTATTGAAAATAACCTCTCTGCCTTCACAAGATAAGAATAAGGATACGAATACACCACCCCTTTTTGAAAACTTCACTTGCGGAATTAATATTGAATATGTTATTGTGTGTTGTTGTAGAGTATAATGCTCCCGATAGACAGAAAGTGGCGAATAATTAAGCTAATAACGAAATTAATCAAGCATGTACTAAAAGACAAGATCAAACAAAAATAGTGGATTAATTATTTGGATATCACTAAAATTAAGAAAAGTTTAATTAGTTACTCTTAATTCATTTTGATTAGCTGAAATTCCACAAGTAATTAATACTACTAAATAAATACAATGTGGATATGTGGTCCTTCCCACTTAGTCCTCATCACAACTTCATCAGAACAAAATATATAGTTTCTGGTACACAAACTAAATTTGTTTACTTCATTATATTCCAATTCTATCGTGTCCACTCAGCAGTTTTTCAAAGTATTTTTCTTTTTTATTCTTCATGCGATATTTATCTTGACTAATCTAGATTTACATCGAGAAGTCTCATGTTAGGTGTAAAGCGTTTTCTATCAAAGACGACTACATATTTAAGGTTCAAACTCAAGACGTTTGATTAAAAATGAACGAAGGATACTTACTAATCACAATGCTAAAATTTTCTAAAAAGGTTCAAAATATAAAAAACGATAATTTTTGGAAACCCTTTTTAAGATACCTTGGCTCCACCTTAGTGCTTAAACCTTTTGGTGGTGTCTCTCTTGTAGCTAGATCAATATAAAGACCAAAATTGTATATTTAAATAACTAATAATGAAACAATAAGAAAAGAGTATATTTCTTAAATGATTATATTCGATATATAATATATATTGGAAGTGGGCAAAAATTTTTATCCTATGATTGATAAAACAAGGGAATTAATAATATAATTATGTCTAGTTTCACTACACTGACTGAGTGAATTCATTTTTCTGTTTTTCCCTGTCCTTAATTTCATGATTTCTCCTACTAAATTCACCCTTTTCAATCAACTGAGGTTCTTCTGATATACTAGAAAGCCCTGAAAAATAAAAAAAGATTAAATATTAGATAAAGGATTCACATACACAAGATAAATTTGAAAAGCTTCCAACAAAAGATTTAATTTGGACTACTAAATTAGATTAATATGATGCAGAATTTAATTTATATACACGGATAGTATAAATGATTTTAACCATCACAACATCTTATTTACTTTATTTTTCTAGGGTTATAGAATTAAGGCTTATATATCGACAGTTAAAATATGCTGCGGATCACTTTACAAGGATGTTGTAAGAAAGTTACACGTTATCAGTGCATATAAGTTAATTACATATATAATACTTTTTACAACACAAAATCTTGAAACATACCTTTAATGAAACCCTTCTTTTGCAAAAGAATTCTTGTAGCTCTCATGTCATCATGTGGTTGATTTGTTTTTTCACTAAGATCAACAAAAGTCTTCAATTGTGCATTTTTAAATAACCAAGTTGACTCCATTTGTTTGTTGATCATTCTAACAGCATAATAAGGGATTCTCATATTTTTTTTCATTGATGATGATGATGATAATGAAGTATGATCCATTTTAAAGCAACAATTAACAAACATAATACAATCCATCAAGCTCTCTTTAGCTAATCCTTTCATATCATATGCTTGTGATCTTCTCCAAAGGCTTTTGGCATGTGAATTAGTTGGAGATGAAAGTGATAAAGCTTTAGTTGTATCACTAATTGCATCATTAGCCTCTCCTAATAACAATTTACATTGTGCTCTATTGCTATAAAGCACAATTCTTTCTTTTCTAAATCTTAATGGACATAACTCCAAAGCCTCACTATATTTCATCATTGCTTCTTCAATTTTCCCTAACCAAAAACTGTTGTTCCCTTGTTGTTTCATCAAACTCACCATTACCCTTTTCTCTTCAAGTTTCTCATCACTCATATTTTGCTCCCTTTTCTTCCTATCTACTTTCAAACCCCATATTTCTTCAAGCACTTGTTGAACACCGGTATTCTTGATTTTCACCTGTTGAGACATAATATAATAAACATGTAATTAAAATGTACTACATGTGTTCACAATTTAAATTATTAAATGACTTGGTAATTTAAAATGGTACGAGAATAGGCAAAAGATTCTGAGTTCAAATCTCATCATCACCACCTACAAGATAGAAATATTTTCACTCGTTTGACTCGTGCAAAGAAAAAAACAAATTTATAAATTAGGGGCGTGTTAGAGACATAATATGATTAAGTAATTATCGTTACCTTTCTTTGTTTGAAATCTGATAAAAGAGTTCTTGTGATTGTATTACCAACATTTGATCTGCCTCCAAGAGTCCTAAGTTCAATTAAATCAACAAGACACATGGAAGCCACTTGAAGAACTTTGTACCTTGTACCTGTTTGAGATATAATATAATTGCAAAATTATTAAAACTCACATGTTCCCTAACACTTAAAAAGTTGTTAGATAAGATGACGATTAAATTTGTTAGATAAGATGATCACATAATTTAACAATACCTGAATCGGCGAGAAGTAGAAGTAGACAATCTATTCCCATATATTGCCAATCATCTGAAGATCTTGCAAGATTACAAAGATTCTTGATTACATCCTTTGATTCAGCAATACATCTTCTTCCATCTTTATTATAACACAAAACTCTAATTAATCCAACCCCTCCTGGTGAAGAATCATTAGCCAATCCACCCCACATTTCACTTAACTCCTTCAAAAAACTTTGCTCACAAATGATATTTAAACACCTTTGTTTGATTGCAAAGCAATTTAAAAGATGTAAACTCCAACATTGAAGTTGACTAGCCCATTCCTCAGCTTTACTATTTTCCATTTCTAGTCCTCCAACTCCTCTAGTCAACAAATCACAATGATATTTCAATCTCATATTCAAATCCTTCACACCAACAAACTCTTTGTACACAACATCAAGGCATGTTGAAGCCAAATTCATGGCTAATTTCACAATTTCTTCTTCATAAATTGCTACACTTTTGAATGTCTTTTCATAGCTTGCTAAATGACCAATTGCTCTAATAGCCACTCTTTGTTCAACCCAAGTCATATTCCCTCTTAAAAGATCCAATAATGGGACTAAAACACCACAATCTAATGCTTTAATAGCAAACTCAACATTGTTCATAGTATAAGAACCAATAATATGAGAAGCATAATAAGGAATATAAATATTTTGATCTTTTTGAAGCCAAGATTTTTGATTTATACCTTTGTTGATTAGACTTGCCATGCATTCAAAAATGCCTAAAGATGGAAGCTCTTTGTCATTTGGTTGTGACATTGCCATAGTCCAAAGGCCACTTAACACTAGCACAAGTTCTTGATCTTCATCAATCAAATGCATTTTTTTAAAGTAGTTTTTTATTCCATTGCTTCTAATTGATGAATTTGTTTCCTTCATTATGCAAAAGAAACAACCTAAATGGTTATTATAGCAACATTTCTCACCCAAACTAGGCATGGTGGGAATTGGAATTTTTTCTTTTTTCTTGAGAGAAATATTCATGGTAGAAGCAAGGAGAGAAATTTTGGTGTAGTAACACTAGGGTTTTGTAGTGTGTGTTTATGGTTGAAATTTGCAAGTTAATACAAAGGAGATAATTATCATCTTAGTATAGGAAAAGTTGGTCAAAGTTGTGGCCTTTCGGAAGTGGAAACATACATGAGAAGATGTATATTTATGCAAGTAAGTTATTACTTCCTCCGTTTCAATTTATCTGATTTAATTGAGTATATGAAAGTTGAACTAATCAATATACAATATAGATTATAAAATTTTCATATTTAGAAATTATATGAAAATACTATAAATGGTTAAATTAATGAATGTTTAATGTGAATAATAAAATTTATATATTTAAAAACTAGAAATTAAATAATAAATAAAACAAATAAATAAAAATAAATGAAATATTATATACTGACATTTAAAAAGATTTTAGAAAGCTTGTTAGGTATCAACACACTCAAAAATATGTAGTACTGATTAATGAAATGCGAAGAGAATTATAAAATATTGAATTCAAACTCTCAATAAAAATAATATATGTGATT